TCATTTTAAGACAAGTAATGCACAAAGGCTTATAAAATTATGCACGGGGTAAAGAAAGTGAACTGGGATTCCTTCCATAATATTAGAACTCAGGGGCACCCAAGTTGAAGTTGATAGGTCACATATTCAGGATGGAGTAAAGGAAGTGCTTCTTCACTCATTGAGTAATTAAATTGAATCCATAAGTCTGCCATGTTGACGCCCACTCGCCCATCCTGTGCACAAGCTAAGTAAATAACTTCCTTTGAATTGTATCTTTCATATTTAACATTTAAACTAGGAATCCAATTGTATTGGAAGTACCTAGAAGGTATATGTCCTGTTACTATTTTGTCTAAGTGCCATCAGAAATCATAGAAAATACTGAGGCAGGATTTTATTTTATATATACACACACACACACATATACAGTAAATTATTTTTGTGAAACAATGAGAACGAAGGTTTCAATTGTAATGTGTGTATCAGCAGTGGTAGATGCCTTCATTTTGAAGAGCTGGTTTATTTCTAAACTTTGAATGCAACAGATGTGCTTTACTTTGTGTGCTCACACCCACAAATTTCAAAGTTTTGAAACTTCTGAGTTATCTTACCTTTGAAATTTTGAAATGTGTTTGAGAGAGCACACAAATAAGTGAATGGATATGATGCCAGTTAGGTCTGAAAGATTTTTTTAGACATCTAAGAGTAGTTCCTTGCACTACATTAGACCCAAAATATTTTTTAAATGTCATTAAAGTTTCACAGGTAGATAACGTCAATGGGGAAAAGAGTTTTGTTATATATACAGAGCTTGCCTCATGGCTGTCTGGACTGTGCTGAAGGATAATAAATTTCTATAGTTCTAAGTGTGTCATAGGGAGGTAATGTAATCCATTTTTTACTGTTCGGCAGGGCTTTTTTGTAGTAAAAGCCCAGCAGGAACTCATTTTCATAACAGGCCACACCCAACAGCAGAAACTCATTAGCATATTAGGCCACACCCCTGACAGCACAGCTAATTAGCATATTAGACCACACTCCATACCTTCCCTTGGTTTGCCCGGGTAAGCCCCCCCTTGAAGAGAAGGCAGTTTAAACTGCCTTCTCTTGGCTTCCCCGGGCACCCTGCAGCCGTGGGGAGCCCAGGCAAGCCACCCCTTGAAGGGAAGGGAAGGCAGTTTAAACTTGGCTGTGGGGCACCCAGCCAAGTCAGCCCTTGGACAGGCTGGAGAAGGCATGGGGAGGCCTTTAAATCCCTTCCTGATCCTTCCAGGCCCGCCCCCAGCCCGCCCACCTCGGAGTGGCCGGGGGGAGTTGCTCTCCAGGCCTTCCCTCTGTAGCCACGCACACAGAGGTTTTGGCTGTAGTGGGCGTGGCCAACTCTGAAGCCAGCCGGAACTCCATTCCTGTGCATTCCT